CAGACCCGGCCCCCCCCCCCCCGGAGCCTGTCCCCTCCCCCACGGAGCCTGTCCCTAACCCCACGGAGCCTCTCCCCAACCCCATGGAGCCTGTCCCCTACCCCACGGAGCCTGTCCCCATCCCACGGAGCCTGTCCCCAACCGCACAGAGCCTCTCCCCAACCCCACGGAGCCTGTCCCCATCCCATGGATCCTGTCCCCAACCCCATGGAGCCCATCCCCAACCCCTCCAAGCCTGTCCTCAACTCCACAGAGCCTGTCCCCAACCCACGGAGCCTGTCCCCAACCCCATAGAGCCCGTCCCTGCCCCACAGAGCCTGTCCCCAACCCCACGGCGCCCGTCCCCCTGTGCCTTGCATTGCAACCCCGCCACATGAGCCTCCACTCGGCCAAAAACTCGGAAGGGGACAGCCTTGCAAGGCCATTCCAGGGAGCGCAGCCTCGGGTGACGTGCTTGGGGACCCCCCGCTCCCCACCCAGGCGCCCCCAGCGCCGTGCCCGCGCCGGCCGGGCTGGATGCAGGATCGGGCTCCGCTGCCACTCCCGTTGCTCCCTAAAGCGGCATGGCAGGGCGCCCAGCCGTGCCCACACGGGCAGGAGCAGCCGGGTGACTCAGGACCTGCCTGCGCGCTGCCTGCAGCCCGGGGGTGACTCACGTCCCCGGGGGTACCGGGGGGGTCTCGCCGGGAGAGGGGACGGTGCCACCCGGCAAGCGCCTGGAGCAGCAGGCGCCCCAGCCCTGAGTCAATATTGACTCTGACGTCTGCGAGGCGAGGAGGAGGAGGAGGAGGAAGGGAGCCCAAGAGGAGGGAGGTGAACGCGATGGGTGCAAGGGGCCACCCATGCCAGGCTCTGCCCCGACGCCCTCCCGGGGGTTTTGCAGGGACGGGGCTGCCTGCGGGCAGGGGACACCCGCACCACGGCACCGCTGGCACCGGGAGAAGCCCCCGGAGCTGGGGCTGTGCCAGGCACGAGGGGACAGCCGACGGCGTGCTGGGCTGTGGGGCAGGAGCAGATCCAAGGGCAAGATCCCCCCCAACCTCTGCCTGGGGGCTGTGGCCACCCTGGGGACGCACTCAGATGCTGGGGACAGAGGGGACCCCCGGGATGGAGGAAAACTCCCCTGGGGGCCAGCTCAACCCCCCTGCCCCGAATCCTCGGGGTCCGACACTGCCACGAAGCCCCAGCTTCGCCGGCGGTGTCCCCTCCCGCCCGGAGCAGGCTTCCCCGGCCCCGGGGGGGCACGGCAGCCGGGGCGGGCAGCGCCAGCAGCCACGGCCACGCAGGTCATTAATTAAAGAGAAGCTCTCCCTCGTGGCCCGGATGCTCGGCGCCATCATTAGCGACCGGGTGCAGCGTCTCAAGGTGACCCGATGAATAAGTAACGAGCGGGAGCCGGGCAGGGATGGCCAGCCTGTGCGTCCCAGGCAGCTTCCCAGAGCCCGGCCACGCCGGCGGCTCCGGCAAAGCCCGGCGAAGCTCCAGCCCCCTCCCGATGCTTCCCACGGAATGGCTCCTGGCCACCCTTTCGGAGCAGCCCATTCCCAGGGGCAGCATCTCCACCGTGGGACTCGGGTCCCCAGGCACCGGGTCGCTGCTCCACCGGGCTGGGGAGGGGGTCCCGGCCGGGGTCCCCCATCCCGCAGCCACCTCGGCCACCGTGACGGCCAACGGGTAGCCCCGAGGCCAGCGAATCCCATGGTCATGAATCAGCCCTGGGTTGTGTCAGGTCCCGGTGGCACAAACTTGTTTCCAGACTCCAGAAAACAGGTTAGACGAGAGCTGCATCCCTAATGGGAGGCGAGGCGAGCAGAGGGGGGACGGCAGCCGCTTCAAAGCGGGGCGAGACCTTCGGGTTTCATTTAATGACAGAGCAGCAGCAGGAGAGAGAAAGCCAGCGAGCAAACAGCGAGGCAAACAGCTCGTGGGCGGCTGCGGGTGCCAGGCACAGCGGGCGGCACCCAGCCCCCTCCCCGGGGGGTGAACCCCCCGGCTCGGCCCCGCCGTGCCACCTCAGCGGTGCCACGTGTGCCGGCGCAGGCGCCCGTCCCGCCGGACAGCACGAAATCCAGCGGGAGCATCCTGTCCTGGGTGGGAGATACCGGGTCTGGGTGCTGCTGGGGAGCCGGGGGGCAGCACAGGGACCGCTGGTCCCCCCACGGTCCCCAATACCTGCCCGGCATCGACCCAGCAGGATTTTTCCAAGCAGGATCTGGCCAGGAGGGTGCTGGGGAGGGCCCAGGACCCAGCCTGGCTGTGGGATCCTCTGGGGAAGCAGGGCTGGATGCTGGGGGGGCTTGGAGAGCCCCGCAGGGCTGGCTCGCTGCCGGGGGCAGAGGCTTCGGGGAGGGAAGGAGGAAGAGGAGCAGGCGGGGAGCGAAGGTTGCCAGCGGGAAGGCGACGGCTCCCGGGGTAAACAGGGACCTTGGCCTCTCGGGGACGAAGAGGCTCCTCCACGGGGTTCAGCCGAGCACGGAGAGTGAAGGGCCGCGCTGCCCCGGCCCCGGGGTGCTGCCGCGGCTCGGGGACCCCTGCGGGCAAGGGGTGGCTTCGGGTGCCAACCGCCCCGTGACGGGAGCGTGCCGGGCCAGCCCGGGCCAGGACGTCCTGGTGCGCGCCTGGGGCTGGGTCCCTGCCAGGCCGATCGCTGCAGGCAGACGTGGCACACTGGGATTGTCGGGACGGGCAGGGGACGGGCAGGGACGCACCCCCCCGGCACCCTCCCTGCTGCGTGCTGGCACCCAAGCAGCTCTACAGAGAGCTGCACCCCGGCCCCACCGGAGACGTTCGGGGATGCAGCAGCACCCCAGGAGCCAGCGGCAGGGCTGGGGGGCACGGGGGGCTCGGCGTGGGGGCCAGGACAGCCAGACCCCACGGGACGGGTGCTCTGCGTCCCGCTGGCCACGCGGCCCGGGGGGGGGCCG